TGCTGTTTCCTCCAAGTGAGTCCTGAAACAATTGTATGCACAAATTACTTTGTCAGAACATTTAAGTCCAATTACTAGCAATCATATAGTATCGGTTGCTCATTGAGGAGAACCTCCTTATACAAGTGTCTGAGTTAGAGTTCTTGTGCTATATTTCTTTCATTTGGTTTCTCTTCAGATTAACACATTTTAGTGAGGTGACAGGACTTGTTGCTAACATGGAAAAGTCTACCATGTTCCTAGCAGGAGTTCAGTGGAGTGCAATGGTATATCATGCATGGAAGGCAAGGAACTGGAAAATTTTCAAGGGAAAAACTGTAAATACAGAGTTAGTTCTGATACAGATAAAGGAGGAGACTATAGAGAGAATAGGGATAGCTCAATTGTCTAAAAAAGCTCGTAGATGTCAGAATATAATTCAGAGGATCACTTGTAATTAGCCTGCAATTGGAGGCCTAGTGTTTTACAATACTCTTCCTAGAGCTAGAAGATGGTTGTGGAACTAGGTGCTCCCTAGGTGTATTGATTAATTTGTTTGTTAGTGTTACCAAAAAAAATCTTCAATTGTTCTTTGTCTTCAAACGGACAAGCAGATTTAAGAGTTGGTTACTGACTGATGGCACCCAATATGATTCAGCTTAGTATATAATTACATTTAAAAGAAGGCATTCCAGAAAGTAATTATAACTGATAGTATAATTAAAGATTTAAGAAGTAAAAAGCAGAAACCAGCAAGGGCTGCAGAAATCCATGCCTGTAAGAGACGTGTTAGCTTGCTATCTCTGTATGGGATGTGTGCACCTTCTTTCCGCTTCTTCTCATCACCAAGGGCACTTATTACATTGCCAAGAGCAAGCAATCCCCTGTTGATATGAATACCTGCACCGGAATGCCCAAAAGATGAATACTGGATATGCACATTTTATTTTGAGAACTATAGTTGAAGAAACAAAAATCTGGTAGCTCTATATGAGAGATTATCCATCTAGTCAGAAATGTCTCAACACAAATGGTAGCGTTACAAAATAAATAAATAGTTCAGTCAAATTTCCAAAAATGTAATTGTCATTACCCTCTCGTAAACGCATCTCATCAGCTCCAGTTCGCTTTGCTCGCTCTGAACCAGCGAGGTCAACCAAATGAAGCTTGGCACATAATATGTCATCACCATCATCATTCATTGAGCAATTAGCCATTCTCTTTTGTTCCAATGTAATTGTAAATATGGCATGAGATCGACTGTTGAAAGAAAAAGAACAGAAGGTATGTAACTCCACGACTAGATGAAGAAAACCACAAAATTTATTATAATAGAAACTTAAGTGGGATCCATTTCCACGAGAAAAAAAAAAAAAAGAAAAAGTCATTTGTAAGGTGATGTATACCTTGACTGACTGTTCATCTTGGTGCTTCCGGTGGCACGAGATACGGATCCTCGCATCAGGAAGGACGCCATCTCTTCTTTCGTCCTAACTACTGCCTCCGTCACACCAGCCAGCGTAATTCCTCCATGAACAGTCTCTCGTATTTGAATGGGAACCCTAGCCGGCCCGTCCAGTAAATCAAACACCTCCTCTTTAAAAATCTGCAAGAATAAAAAAATTTAAGATGATCAGCATGTCATTTTTATCTTGCGAGGACATATATCTAATGAAATACCAGAGTTCTCTTTCTACACCTCAATGAATGATACTCTGATCAGTAATTCTGTAGACTCCTTCATCACCTCTACTTTTGAGAATATAGTATTCATAACGTTTGGGATTACTCCGACGGTCTGGTCTTCACCATTAAAGTTTGTTCCCATTGTATATGTTTTGCCAGAACCCGTCTTCAACACACATCATTGCAGAATGCATGCTTGTTAGTCTCATATGTCAAGATAGTACATTCAATCCAAGGACATAACCATATCAAATAGAGTTGTGTAAAATAGATAAAATGCAAGTAAGACTAGACCTAGGAAAACCACCAAGAAATGAGCAAAATTACTGGCATCTTACCTGACCATAAGCTAGCACAGTTCCATTAAAGCCTTGGAACAAGGCATCCACAAGTGGCAAAACGCACTCATCATAAATACGTGAAGATGGATAGCCCCCACTCCCGAATACATAATCAAATGTGAAGGCATGTGATCCAATTTGCACCTGTTTGTGGTCAAGAACATAAACAAAAGCCAAATCAGTTTACAGAGCATACTCGTGATGCAATCAAATATGATAGTTAAACTTCATTAATCCACCACATTGTACAATCATATATGATAATTTAATAATTCAACACTGAACTACTAAAACTTTTGCAAATGCAATAAGTTCAATTATTTAAAGTTAAAAATGCTCATCAGAACAAATGACCATTAAGCACATAAATATTGTACAATACAGACAGAATTCCCAATCTATATTTAACTAAGAGCACCTGTGATTCACCAGGGATTACTGTAACACAATCAGTGCATCCAATGAGAAGCTCAGAAGTAACCAGAGGTCTGATGTTCACGGCAACTCTCACGCACTGTGATGTGTCCTTGCCCTCGGAAGTCTCCATTGCCACTCAATGCCAACCCTAGAAACCCATTTCTGAATCAGACCACACAATGAATAGCAGCAAAGCAAAAGTTCCTCAAACAAATTACCAATTGAAAGAGTCAAAGGTTACAGTTGGGATTTTCAAACCACATTTTCCATCTTTGAACAGACAATTCAGGAGAATTACAATAAATAACCAATATTCTACCTCCATTTCATGAATCAATCAAGGAGGCGCATAAATTTTCACTTGAGATTCAATCTCCGAAGATAAATACAAGGAATGAAACAAAAATTAGAGTTCGAAGACCACATATAAACATCTGCAAAAAACAAGCTCCTTAATAAAATAACCATTGAAACAGTCAAAATTTCCAATTAAAATGTCAAAACCACCTTTGTTTATAGGCAGTCAATAAATCACGAGAAATAGAATAAATAACCAAAAATTATACCTCTATGCATCTAACAGTGACAAATTTGAACTCTTTAATACAATAAAAAATGCTGATAATATTCAATTTGATATTCAAGCAGATTACCACTGGAAAAATCATAACGGTCCAGCTAGGGCTATGAAAAAAAGCTACATTTTCCTACCATACATTCGCATATAAACACTAAAAATACAAAGACAAAAACAATTTCAACTCATAACTTAAAATCAGCAATTAGCACAAAAATGATAAATCGTAGATTCAAAAAAAATCAGCCTTCTAGTTAAGGCTCCAAAACAAACCACATTAAAAAATGACCTAATTCTACCTCCACACATCTATACAAAAACACAAAAGAACTAACCTAGTGAATATAATAAGGAATTTGGATACAAATTTCGAATCAGAGATTCAAATGAAGTCAGTTCGGAGGATTGAGATGATGAATGAGTTAACTGAGAAGATAGATTTGAGATGCCCGTTAAGGGTTTGAGAAGAGGGGGAGGGGAGGGGCGGTCAGTAGTGTGGTGTTTGAAAAAAATTGGAACAAAAGTGTGATGTTTTTGAAGGGCAATATATTCAAAATGAGGATCCCAACGTTACAATAAATTAAACTGAATTTGAAACAAAGACGCTTAGGTCCGAACGAATTCAAATTCGTCGAGTTTGTCACGTGCCGTGCATGTGAGTATTAGGACCCTTTGAGGCTTTGGAGCTTGTAAAAAATATAAGCAAAAAATTGCAGAAATAACTGAAGAGGTGCTTCAAACACATGTCAACAGAGAAACTCAACATGACAATCAAAACAAATGCCAACAGATAATGGAAATAGATATGGTTGAAGCTCAAGCAATAACTGAAGAGGTGCTTCAAACATTTGATTCTATTCAAGTAGAAGGATAAAGCATTATAGAGATTGACAACGAACAAGCTTTGGGTATTCAAGTCTTAGAGAGTGAACCGGTAATCGAAGAAGTTGCTGAAAAAACCTCTACTCAACAAACTAGACGAAGATCAAATTTGAAACAAAAAGAATCCCCAACAACGATATTAAGAGAAAATGCTTCGTTGGATGAAATAAAAGTGGGATCAGTATTTGACAAAAAGAAGACTATAATTAACTATTTTCGAATATAGCAATTAAAGGACATTTTGAATTCAAGGTTGTTAGATCAAGCTCAACAAGATATTCGTTGAAATGCAATGATGATAGGTGTGGTTGGTGTGTGCGTGCTTTCAGAATTAAAGATTCAACATTGTTCAAGATAGTAAAGATTGAGAAAAAGCATGACTGCTCTGTTAACACTATGAAAGCTGATCAAAGGCATGCAACTTCAAAGTTGATTAGTGGTTACATTATCGATAATCTTCGAGACCCAAGATTTGAAGTTACACCAGCTTTTGTCATGGCAGAGATGCAAAAATTGCATGGACTAGACATTGGGTATCACAAGGCTTGGCGTGCTATTCAACTTGCTTCCGCTTTAATAAGAGGAACTCTCGAAGAGAATTATGAATTATTGTCTTCATACTTGTATATGATGACAAGTAAAAACCCGGGAACTTATACGAACATAAAGATAGACGACAACAACAGGTAAACAATCAAAAAAAAAAGTTTATTAGTACGTTTTATAAAATTTAGGACATGATGTCTTTAACCAGTTAACTTTTGAGTTGTAACCAGAAGTTCAGGACTGGCTGTCCTTAACTTTTGAACTTGTAATTCAAAGTTAAGGACTGCCTGTCCTTAAGTTTTGAACTTTGAACTCAAAGTTAAGGACTTCATGTACTTAACTTTATAACTTGAAACTCTAAGTTAAGGACTGACTGTCCTTAACTCTTAACCTTGTAATCTGAAGTTCAGGACTACCTGTCCTTAACTTCTGTTAACCTTGTTTTATATTGTATTTTCAGGTTTATTTATATGTTTTATGCATATGGATCATCAATATCTGGTTGGAATCATTGTAGACCAGTGATTGCTGTTGATGCAACTTTTTTGAAGTCAAAATTTCGTGGTGTTTTAATGATTTCAATTTCAAAGGATGCAAATAACCAAATTTTCCCACTAGCCTTTGGAATAGCAGAATCTGAAAATAACAATTCCTATGAGTGGTACTTTAGTCAGCTTCGCAGTGCAATTGGGAGCCGTAAGAATTTAATTTTTTTATCAGACAAGCATCAAGCTATTGCATATGGCATTGCAAAGGTATATCCTGAAAGCCATCATGGGATTTGCATCTATCATTTGGAGCAGAACCTAAAGCGAAGGAAGGTGAAAAGTAAGGTCATAAAACTTTTCCAAAGTGCTCCAAGAGTATACAGGCGCAAAGAATTTGATCTATACATGTCAGATATCGCAAAAGTAGATAAGAAGACTTATGACTACTTGATGGAAGAACCACCGGAAAGGTGGACACGTTCTTGTAGTCCACGACGAAGATATGATATGCTCACAACAAACATAGTTGAGTCAATGAATTCTGTCCTATTAGAAGCAAGGGAGCTGCCTATATTAAGAATGATGGATTTCATTCAAGTGAAGCTACAACGTTGGTTTTATGAAAGAAGAAATGAAGCAGAAGGAACTCTTTATGATGTTTCTTGTTGGGTAGAGGAGGAATTGAAGAAAAAAATAGATTTAGCATTTACTTTGAATGTAAGTATTATGTTCTATGTTTAGCTTATGATTTTAATATAATTTAACATAATGTACTAACTTATAATTTTTCAACATTGAAGGTCTTCCCTGTTGATTCATGGCGTTCTAGAGTTGAAGAAGAAGGAATAACTTTCTTGGTGGACTTAAACAAAAGAACATGTGATTGTTTTCAGTTTCAATTTGATGAATTACCATGCATACATGCAATTGCAGCTATCGAGAAGAGAAACATCAAGAAGTCCAACTTTTGTTCGCACTGGTACTTAAAGGAATCTTGGCTGAAAACATATGAAAGACAAATGCATCATGTAGGACATACTGATTCTTGGATTGTACCAGAGAGTGTTAGGTCACAAATTCTTAAACCTCTAGATTTCAATGTGCAACCAGGTAGAAGGCAGAAGAAAACACATATTCCAGCTACCGAGTCATCAAAAATAACATTCAAATGTGGTTGTTGCAGAAGAATTGGTCATAATAGAACAGCTTGTATATATTCTCTGACCGTCCATCCATTTTCAAGAAAGCATAGAGATAGTAGATATATCCACTTATGTTTATCGACTCTTTTAAGTTTTTGCTATAAATTGGATTCATTTAGATTATTCTTATTTGAGCAGATGTCCGAATTTTCTAAATTTTTTTCTGCTTACCTTCTTTTTGTTTCTTTTGAGTTCAAAGATTAAAAGTTAAGAACAGGAGTCCGTAAGTCTGACTTGCAGGTTCAAAAGTTCAGGACAGGCAGTCCTTAACTTTGTGTTCAAAGTTCAAAAGTTAAGGACAGGCAATCCTTAACTTATAGTTCAAAGTTCAAAACTTAAGGACTGTCTGTCCTTAACTTTGAGTTTCAAGTTCAAAAGTTAAGGACTGTGTGTCTTTAACTTTGAGTTTCAAGTTCAAAAGTTAAGGACAGAAGTCCTTAAGTTTGACTTGCAGGTTAAAAAGTTATGGACAGACAGTCCTTAAGTTTGAATTACACGTTCAAAAGTTAAGGACAGACAACCTTTAACTTTGAGTTCAAAGTTCAAAGGTTAAGGACTGTTTGTCGACAGGAGTCCTTAAGTTTGATATGCAGGTTCAAAAGTTAAGGACAGGCAGTCCTTAAGTTTGAATTACACGTTCAAACGTTCAGGACAGACAGTCCTTAACTTTGTGTTCAAAGTTCAAAAGTTAAGGACACTTGGTCCTTAACTTTGAATTTGAAGTTTAATTACACTTAGTCATGAACTAATACTAACAAACTCAATGGACAAATCAACACTTGAGAGAAACAAAGAAATTAATAACATGATGCCTTGATATTACTTCTGAAATTGTAATTTTGCATAGCTGTGACAAAAAATTATGCTACGCAAACAAAATATAAGTGCCTTTTGAGGAATTTACAGAATATTTCAGAAGTTTTCTGAACTTGCAGAATTTATTCATTTACAACAATTTTATACAAAAGATCAACCACAACTAACTTTCATTACAACTAAACTACAACTCCTTTGGACAACAAGTTTCATTTTCACTTTCATAATCATCGCCAACATTTTCTGGTGGTGTATCATAACCAGAATTTCTTTTCCACTCACCATGTGCCCAAAGATTTGCGGCAAGTTCTTTTCTAAAGTTTTTTATCTCCTCAGGTTGGAATTTCTCCACATCCTTTCCAATCATCAACAACTCCACATATTTGATAAGGAATGCACCACAATCAGTCCTAAGAAAATGTAAGATATGCAGTGAATTAAACAATAAATCTAAAGTACATATAAATAATATAACAAATAACAACACGTACGATCCAGTTTGGTGTGGTGATCTTTGCCACTGAATATCAAATTTGTTGAAGGCATTTCCAAAAGACTTGTGATGTTTGTCAAACTGTGAGAACTTTAGCAAGTGGGGGATCATGCATGCATACATTTCCATGTGATTCATTCCTGCCTCATATGGCTAACTATATATGGAATCGTATACATCAATCTTTTTCTGATTCAAGTCCAATACCCCCAAAAGAAAGTGTGTCACAGCATTATCATCTTTTGAAGGAAGCCGACATGGATAAAAGATTTTGTCAACCTCTGTCCAAGCAATTCCACATCTACGACTGTCCCCACACATATGGTGTCAGAAACAACTGATTATCACCAGCACACCAAAAGTCATCAGTAGCATCTTCACTGAAATCTTTATACACAAGCACCATATAGTTATCAAAAAGAATATCAGTAGTTGTGCAACGAAAAGGATGGTCGCGGGGGTGGTAGCAATCCTTCTTTTTCAGATAATATAGGGCAATGTCAATATGCTTCATAAAAAGGCAAAAATTAAAAATAAATCCATCAGTCATAAAATAATTAAAAAATGATAAATTAAGAATAAAGAAAATAAATGCCTTGCGAATTATCTAACCTTATCATCAAGTACAAATCTGCTATCTAAAAGCTCAAGGAAGAGCATTTTGCTACTGATTTTTTTATGATACAATTTGTATGGATTCTTCCTCACACCATTACCATCAGCATATATATCATTTTGTCCCCTGAAAATTTTGAAAATATCAAAGTTAAAAGTTAGTCCTGAACTTAGCCTTTCAAGTTGAAAAATTAAGGACATGCAGTCCTTAAATTTGAATTAGAGGTTCAAAAGCTAAGGACACTTGGCCCTGAAGTTTGAGTTTCAAGTTCAAAAGTTAAGGACACATGGTCCTAAACTTAGACTTACAAGTTTAAAAGTTCATGACACTTTGTCCTTAACTTTGAGTTCAAAGTTCAAAACCGAAGGACTGTCTGTCCTTAACTTTGAGTATCAAGTTCAAAAGTTAAGGACAGGAGTCCTTAAGTTTGACTTGCAGGTTCAAAAGTAAAGGACAGGCAGTCCTTAACTTTGAATTACAGGTTCGAAAGTTAAGGACACATGGTCCTGAACTTAGACTTACAAGTTTAAAAGTTCAGGACACTTTGTCCTTAACTTTGAGTTCAAAGTTCAAAACTTAAGGACTGTCTGTCCTTAACTTTGAGTATCAAGTTCAAAAGTTAAGGACACATGGTCCTGAACTTAGACTTACAAGTTTAAAAGTTCAAGACACTTTGTCCTTAACTTTGAGTTCAAAGTTCAAAACTTAAGGACTGTCTGTCCTTAACTTTGAGTATCAAGTTCAAAAGTTAAGGACAGGAGTCCTTAAGTTTGACTTGCAGGTTCAAAAGTTAAGGACAGGCAGTCCTTAACTTTGAATTACAGGTTCGGAAGTTAAGGACACATGGTCCTGAACTTTGACTTACAAGTTCAAAAGTTCAGGACACTTAGTCCTGAACTTTGATTTCCAAGTTGAAAAGTTAAGGACACTTAACTTTAGCAATTTCAATATCAATACTGAAATACATTAAGGGACTTACTCTTTTTTGCGACCTCTCCTTTTCTCCTTGCCCAACCACACAATGAATTTCTTCAATAATTTTGCATCATCTGTGGCATAATGAAAAATACACCTATGAGTATATGTTGATTTTATCCAGCCTGAACTCTTGGGAGTATTTTGATTGTCTGCCATCGATGTTCCTGTTTTTCTTTCCTGGTCAAAAGGAGATTTCAACTGCCGACTTAGCTTCTTGTTCCTTTTACCTCGACCAAGCTCTTCTTCAATATTTCCTTCAACCTCCATAGACAAACCCCGATCAATGCTCATTTGTTGTCATAACCCTAACCCCGAACCCGGTCTTGATGGCGCCTCTCGTGAAGACAAGGCCATCCAATAAACAATTTCTCAGTTTTAAATAGTTAAATAGCATAATAATGATCTAAGCATAATTAAATAACACGAAATAGCGGAAAAACCAGACCGACACAGCCCAAACCGGGGTGTCACAAGTCATGAGCAACTACGAATCCTGATACAAATCTACTAAGCACAATATCTGATACAACTGTTTGAAGAAACAAAGGAAATAATAAGATAAGGGAGGCACGGGGGATGCGGACGCCAACAGCTACCTCGTAGTCTCCGAAACACCGCCTGGACAGGAGGAATCAACACTCCGGAGGGGGACCAACAACGCCTGAATCTGCACACACGGTGCAGGGAGTAATGTGAGTACTCCGACCCAGTGAGTAACAAGTATAAATAATGACTGAAGATAAGAAATCACGTAAAGCACAAAGTATCCTATAATGAAGCAGTAAAANTGAACTTCCACTCTATCAATAGATTATACATATGTTTCGTAATCACTAAAAAGTTTATATATATTACGCTATTGAATATAAATTTCAATGACAACAAATTCAAAATCTATATCTAACCTTTCCCAATTTTATCAATTTCATCTTCTAGATGTGCATCTCATTATCGCTTTCATAATGATCTTCTGCATGCACATATGCATCATCACATTGATCATCACCTGCATCTTTGTTAATTGGAACAGTAGGTTTTGTACCATCACAATGATCATCAACTGCATCTTTACTACTCGGAACACTAGATTCTCTCTCTATGTTCCTTTCATCAGGTTTGACAAGAATCTTCAACAAAGTATCAATCTTTGACCCTAGGTTTTTCTTTAAATCCTGTGAAAGAAATTAAGTTAAAAAGTTAAGGACATGTAGTCCTAAACTTCAAGTTACAAGTTAAAAAGTTAAGGACAGCCAGTCCTTAACTTTGAGTTCCAAGTTCAAAAGTTAAGGACAGGCAGTCCTTAACTTAGAGTTCCAAGTTCAAAAGTTAAGGACACTTGGTCCTGAACTTTAAGTTGCAAGTTCAAAAGTTAAAGACAATTGGTCCTTAACTTCAAGTTTCAAGATCAAAAGTTAAGGACACTTGGTCCTGAAGTTTGAGTTCCAAGTTCAAAAGTTAAGGACACTTGGTCCTTAACTTTGAGTTTCAAATTCAAAAGTTAAGGACACTTGGTCATGAACTTTGAGTTCCAAGTTCAAAAGTTAAGGACGCTTGGTCCTGAACTTTGAGTTGCAAGTTCAAAAGTTAAGGACACTTGGTCCTGAACTTTGAGTTGCAAGTTCAAAAGTTAAGGACACTTGGTCCTTAACTTTGAGTTCCAATTTCAAAAGTTAAGGACACTTGGTCCTTAACTTTGAGTTCCAAGTTCAAAAGTTAAGGACACTTGGTCCTTAACTTTGAGTTCCAAGTTCAAAAGTTAAGGATACTTGGTCCTTAACTTTGAGTTCCAAGTTCAAAAGTTAAAGACAATTGGTCCTTAACTTCAAGTTTCAAGATCAAAAGTTAAGGACACTTGGTCCTGAAGTTTGAGTTCCAAGTTCAAAAGTTAAGGACACTTGGTCCTTAACTT